GGTGGATAATTTGTTAAAATCTAAGATCAATCTTGATATATTGGAAAAACAAATAGTAACTTTCTTTCTTGAAAATGACCCTAATGATACCTCATATATAAACAATTGGTGTGCTTTTAAATCCACCATGAGAGGTAATATAATAAGTATACAAACAAGATATAAAGAAAAAAATAATAGAATTTTTCTGGTATTAAAAGCAGAATTAAAAAGGATCGCAAGTAAGAATAAGCAGTCTCCTTCTAAAGAAAATGCAGATGAAGTGAAAAGCATTCAGAATAGAATTAATAATTTTCTGATAGTAAGGAATGCAAAACTAATGAATAAACTCAAAGCAAATTACTATTATAAGGGGAACCAAGCAGACAGAATCATGACAAAAAAATTAAGAGATAAAATTGGATCCAGCAAAATAGTAAAGATAGTGGATGAAGATGGGGTATATCTAGACCCCAAAAAAATAGGTGAGAGATTTAATAAGTATTATGAGGCTTTGTACAATCTAACTCCCCCGATAATAAATGAAGAGGATTATTTGAGTAAAATTAATACACCCAAATTTACATTAGAACAAAGTAATAAGCTAAATACTTTAATTACAGTTCAAGAAGTAGAGGCAGTAATAAACAAATTAAAACCAGATAAGACGCCAGGTCCAGATGGTTTTGCAAATATATTTTACAAATCTTTTAAAAACATTATAGCTCCCCATTTAACAAATATGTTTAACGAAATCGTATCAGTTGGCAAATTTCCTACCGAAATGCTGAGTGCAAATATTCTTCCAATTCTAAAAGATAATAAAGATCCTTTAAAGGTGGAGAATTATAGACCCATCTCCTTAATTAACACAGATGTTAAAATCTTTTCATCAGTTTTGGCTTATAGACTAAGGGGACTAATGGATTATATAATTAAAAATGATCAAATTGGTTTTGTACAAGGCAGAGATCCGGTAGATAATTCTAGAAGATTATTGGATTTGATAGATGCATCTAGAAGAAATAATAAATCTTTATTTGTACTGGCTGTAGATGCCGAGAAAGCTTTCGACAGGGTCGGTTGGGGCTTTTTAAGGAAAACTATGGAAAAATTTGGAATCCAGGGCAGGATGCTTAATGTTATTTTAGCACTATATAAAGGCCCAAAAGCAAGAACAGTGGCCCCAAACATATGTGCAGAGTGGTTTACACTAAAAAATGGCACGAGACAGGGCTGTCCTCTGTCGCCTATTTTATATATTATGACAATGGAGATTCTAGCTATTAATATAAGAGATAACTCTCGAATTAAAGGATTTAGACACAGAGAGAAAGAATTTAAATTGAATCTATATGCGGATGATTTAATTTTGACCCTAACCGACCCTGCCGAATCGCTTAGTGCTCTGATGGAAGAGATAGATAAATACAGTCTGATTTCAAATTATAAAATAAATGCAACGAAATCCACTTTTTTAGCTATAAATATTTCTAGAGACTCTATCCAACAGATTAAAGATAAATACAAATTTAATTGCGATAAAAACAGGTTATCTTATCTGGGTATAATGCTTACTGATGACTTAAAAGATACGTTGCAAACAAATTTTTTGAAAATATTTAGATTGACACATGAGTCATTAAAAAGATGGAGACAAATTGAACTATCCTGGTGGGGTAGAATTAATTTGGTCAACTCGTACTTACTCCCTAAATGGTCTTATCTATTTCGCATGATCCCTTTGAGAATGCCACAACCATGGTTATCTATGATACAACGAGATATAAACAATTTTATATGGAAAGGAAAAAGGCCGAGGATGAATAAGCATCTTCTGATGCAGAAGAGCAGGAAAGGAGGGATAAACTTCCCAAATGTCAACATAAATTATTTAGCTAATATGATGTTTCATATATATAAGACGCAACTATTAAGTTCAGAGGAAGCTGGTTGGTACCAATTAGAAATGGAGATGGTAGAAATGGAAAATTTACATCAATTGATTTGGCTAACTAAACAAGATGAAAGAATTAAAAAGGCCTGTACTTCTAATAATTGTTTGAAATCAATTCTAATGGAGTGGGAAAAGTTGAGGATTAATAGCGGAATTCGTAATAATAAAATACTGGGAAACTTTAACTTTAGTATTATACAACTAAGGATGAAAGATTTAAATATTAGTGAATGGACAAGGAGAGGTATTGACTATATAAATCAAATAATATCGGGGGATAAAATTAAATCATTTGAAAATTTGATACAAGAATTTTCACTACCTAGGAAAGAGTGGTATAATTATCTAAGAATTAGAGGCTTTATTAAACAGTTTTTGTTACACCGACCTACAGCGGGTATAGAAAATTTGATAGTTCTATTAAGAAATGAGAATGTACCGCAAATAGTTTCAAAGGCAAGGACTGCTCTTCTTCAACTTGAAGCACCAAACCTAAATGTAAACATTCAAAAATGGAGTAAAGAGTTAAATGTACAGATTCTTAAGTCTGAATGGGATCAAGTATTATACCAAACAAGTAAAATAATCCATTGTCTGAACCTTCTTGAGGTATTATTTAAATTAATGAACCGCTGGTATTTAGTTCCCACCAGATTGTCCAAAATGTACACTTCTAATTCCTCATTGTGTTGGAGATGCAATGATAAAGAGGGGACTTTTGGACATATATGGTGGGATTGTAGTAAGGTGAAAATTCTGTGGTTTATGGCTTTTGAATCATTGGAGTATATTACAGAAATAAAAATCCCTAGAGGTCACCATAATGGTCTATTTCACTTAAATTTGCAATCACTCCTTTTTAAGAATAAATTTATATTTGTCCATTTTGTAGCAGCAACAAAAATAATAATCGCAAGGAACTGGAAGAGTAGTGCAAATTTTACACAAGCCCAATTATATTCACAAGTTCAATACCAATTAACCATGGAGGCCTAGGGACATCAGTCAATAAAAATCAGAGATGTTAGTAATTTCTGGAAAGAAAAAATGGAGAGTTTGGTCAGATAAAATCCTGGACGAAATTAATAGAATAGTTTTTTGTTTTTTTTTCTACATCTTTTCCTTTTTATTATTTTAAGGTAGTGAAATAGAGGTGCCACTGATATACCCCAAGTAGAGTCTGCAATGCATGTTTGTTTTTGTATGTTTGTTATGTACATCATACTAATGAAGTTTGTAAAGCTATTTATTCAATATAAGTAACAATAAATAGTGAATTAGGATGACTATTACAGGAGATGAAACCCTAATCTTAGAGGGAATGTTGGATGAAAATTTTGTCATGCACATTGTTTTTGTTAATATGGTATTTGGATTAGTTTAAGGAAATAATATTATTGAGTAAAGAAATGGGGAATAAGCAATAATATTGTAAATATATGATAATGCGTAATATTTAATGCGTATGTATATATGTAATACCATATGTCTTATCCAACTAGTGGTAAATGTTTACATTTTTATGTCTTTTATATTAGTATGGATGATGGTAATATCTTGTACGTCTATATAAGAAAAACGAAATAAATAAATTATATAAAAAAAAAAAAAACAAGACTACAATTCATGCTATAACAAAATTAAACAAGTTTAAAAATATGTATGGGCCAACCAGTGGCTGTAAAGACAAAGTTTTACTGGTTACATTCATGACTACACGCGCTAGTGAACAGGACCTTCATGTAGTGTGTTATGTCCTATTGTTAATTACCAATTTTTGTTTAGCCTGATTTTTTTTTTTTTAAATAAGTGTTATTGTGATCGCTTCATATACAGAAGCATTAATATACATTTCTATATTGTGTAAAGACACAACTACAAAGTTAAAAACCAAACACCAGAACAACGTGCCAGACGATCTACCTGTGCATGGTTAGTGTGATATAATAAGTCTACATCTTAAAAATGCAATAACCCACAGATGATGGGTGAGAATTTTTTTTGCAAATGGAACTTTGATTCAAATTTACTACATCGGTCACTTGTAATATTGTTTCACACCTACAACACTTATTACACAGTGATAGAAAACAGATTGATATTTTCTACACTAGAAACTACCAGATAACAAGCTGCTATATTTAAAACAGTTATCAAAAGCTAAGAGGTACTTAAACAATATTGTAATTCTGGGGCAATACCCTCACATGTCAAACTGAGAGGTCAGTTTATAGGGAAAACTGTTGCCTGGATACAATTCTAAAACAATTTCCATATGTCCTTTGCAGACTTTACATGCTGGAAAAACACAGGTGCCAACTGCTGTGGCTTTCTGCAGTGTGCATACCGGCAAGGAGGGCAGGGTTGAGGAGTGGGTGGAAGATGATGTGGAGGATGATGAGGTCTTAGACCCCACATGGAATCAAGGTCATGCAAGTGACATGTGCAGTTTGGAGGAACAGGGGCTGGTCGCACAGAGGCACCAGCACAGCATAAGAGGGAGCAGGGTGCAAAAGCGGAGTGGACATCCCCGAGTGCTCGTCAGCATGTATTATCTTTAGAATTCCCACAGTTATCCAAGTAACAGTTGAAGCGATAAAAAGAACCATAACAGATTTAAGAAGCCATTCGCAGTTTGCCAGTCCAGTGACCGGGACCCAGACACTGTCTGGGCAGCAGTCGGACGACCGGAACCCAGTATGTCTGATGTAGAAGTTAGGAGTCACAGTGTGGAATGGATTAGCAGGGTCTGGTGCAGGGTAACCATACACCCCCTGGTGTTGAGCACCAGCATTTGTGCGGCCACATATCAGAACCCTGATGCAGCTTCAGTAAAAAGAGTGCTGGATATCAGAAGCCATCACCAGACTGATCCTCAACTTGAAACAGGATGTGACATTCACTGTAGTGGCTGTGCGCGCTTTCGGCATTCTTGCCCTGCTGCTGCTCACCTGTCTGCACTGCAGCGTAACTTTGGCCTTCCTGCTCACTGCCTCATATGCAATGTGCCCACAAGGTGGAACTCCACCTTGCACATGCTGGAGAGACTGTTTGAGCAGCAGCATGCTGCCTTCCTTGCATGTGGTAGCCGTTTGTCAGGGTTCCTGTACGGAATTGAACCCTGATTCCCCGTTACCCGTGGTCACCATGGTAGGTGCAGTCAATGGCATCGAAAGTTGATATGTATTGACATATGAATGCGTCGTCGCCTTCTCGTTGGGGAGCACATTGAAAACGTGCCCTTGCATGACGAGCTGGGTGATCTCCTCCGGGAACTTGGCTTCATGGGAGTTGACCCAGTTCTGGGTGCCACTTGTGATGCCACGGTGTATACCCAGATATATCAGAGCTGCGGCAGAAAGTGTGGGCCATCTGTGCGCGCTTTTGGCGTTCTCACCCTGCTGCTGCTCGCCTGTCTGCGCTGCAGCGTAACTTTGGCCTTCCTGCTCACTGCCTCATATGCGATGTGCCCACAAGGTGGAACTCCACCTTGCACATGCTGGAGAGACTGTTTGAGCAGCAGCAGGCAATAGTGGAGTTTCAGCTGCAGCACGCACGGGTCAGTGGCTCTGCACCAGACTTCCCTCCATTTGATCAGAGTAAAAGGATTTCAAGTGGACTCATTACAATTACAGGGCCTCTAAAGAGTCCTGTATTGTTATTTGTCGTCACTACCTTCCTGCGTCAGGAGTGTTGGCTACCTCCTCCTCCACCGCCGCTTCCACCTACACCGCCACGGTCACCGCCTCCTCAACCTATGGGTCACTTAGTATAAACTATGTACACAATAGCAGAGGCTTGTGAAGGCCTTTTCTCCATGCATCAGGAGTTGAGCACTTCTCCATGCTTCAGGACTGCAAGAAATGCACCGCAGGCCGCAAATGTTTCTTTTTTTATATGTCCCAATATTTTGGGGGCTACCCTAATTAAAATAAAAATAGATACCGTATATACTCGAGTATAAGCCGAGTTTTTCGGCACATTTTTTGTGCTGAAAAACCCCAACTTGGCTTATACTCGAGTCAATGTCTGTATTGTGGCAATTTACATTGCCACAATACAGACCAGGACCGCCGGGAAGGTAAGTAAGAGCTCCCTGTCAGCCCCCCACTGAACTGCCAATGCCACTGGACCACCAGGGATTCAGTATTATTTTATTTTAATAATAATAATAAAATAATATTATTAAAATTACATTATTATATTATTATTATTTTAATATTTGCATATTTTTAAAATGTTTTTTGTCCCCCCTCCCTGCTTGTTACCTGGCCAGGGAGGGGGGACAAAAATTATAATTTTTTTTTAAATAATGCAAATATTAAATTAATAATAATAATAAAATAATAATAAAATAATATTATTTTAATATTATTTTATTATTATATTATTATTATTTTAATATTTTCATTATTATTTTTAAATGTTTTTTCCCCCCTCCCTGCTTGTTGCCTGGCCAGGGAGGGGGGACAAAAAACATTTTAAAAAAATAATGCAAATATTAAAATAATAATAATATAATAATAAAATAATATAATATTAAAATAATAATATTATTTTAATATTATTTTATTATTACATTATTATTATTTTAATATTTGCATTATTTTTTAAAACATTTTTTTGTCCCCCCCCTCCCTGCTTGTTGCCTGGCCAGGGAGGGGGGACAAAAACATTTTAAAAAAAATAATGCAAATATTAAAATAATAATAATATAATAATAAAATAATATTAAAATAATATAATATTAAAATTATAATTATAAAATAATATTATTATTTTAATATTATATTATTTTAATATTATTATATTATTATTTTAATATTTGAATTATTTAAAAAAAATGTTTTTTTTTGTCCCCCCTCCCTGACCAGGCAACAAGCAGGGAGAGGGGACAATAATGCAAATATTAAAATAATAATAATATTATTAAAATAATAATATAATAATATTAAAATAATATAATAAAATAAAAAAATAAAAATGCCCTCCCCTCATCCAGTTTACACACACTGCACAAACACACACACTGCATTATATACACACTGCATTATATACACACACACAACACACAAACACACACACACTGCACTCATTATATATACACACACAAACACACACTCTGCATTCATTATATACACACACAAACACACACTCTGCATTCATTCTATACACACACTGTAAATAAATATTCAATTAATGTAATTTTATTGGGATCTAATTTAATTTAGAAATTTACCAGTAGCTGCTGCATTTCCCACCCTAGGCTTATACTCGAGTCAATAATTTTTCCCAGTTTTTTGTGGTAAAATTAGGGGCCTCAGGCTTATATTCGGGTTGGCTTATACTCGAGTATATACGGTACATATATAAACAGTGTTGGCTACCTCCTCCTCCTCCACCGCCGCTTCCACCTACACCGCCATGGTCACCGCCTCCACAACCTATGGGTCACTTAGTATAAACTATGTACACAATAGCAGAGGCTTGTGAAGGCCTTTTCTCCATGCATCAGGAGTTGAGCTCAGTTTGAACAATGAAAGAGAATACCCTGCACTCCAACACTCTCTCAAATGGATAATTCTGGTGATCCACCTGACAGCCATGTATTAGAGTTTGATTTTTTCTTCCAAAGCTAAAATCAAAGATTCCATCTAGTGCTATTTTATGGCTCAGCTGTATTTTACATTTTTATGTTATTTTAAGTGATTTCCCTATCCACATTTGTTTGCAGGGCACTTGTCCTATTCTTACCCCCATGTTACTTCCTTTTGCAGCCCTCTAGCCCTTTCCAGGACCTTTTTAGAGGCATTTGTGTGACCAAAAATTCGGGTCCCCGTTGACTTCAATGGGGTTAGGGTTCGGGGTCAAGTTCGGGGGCAAGTTCGAACCCGAACCCGGACTTTTTTTCATAGTTCGGCCGAACCCGCCGGACCCGAACATCCAGGTGTCCGCTCAACTCTATTTATAACAGGAATATCAAAAAATAAGAAATGTTTTTATAAACACTGGAACATTTTAACGAAGGTTCATACACTAAAAAGATTAGTAAGCAAATGACCCAGTTTTATTTCAGAAGGGCACCAAATCTAAGGAATAAATTAGTACATATTTTCTTTAAAAAATAATAAAAATGAATCTTTTTAATTGTCTCAGGTTGGATTTAATGTAAGAATTTAATGTACGGGAATATCTTAAAGACTACATGTCCCAGAGTCAGTTCACTTTAAGAAATCACAATGATCTTCGCATATTTAAATTTATGCAAATCAGAAAGTAAAAACAGACATTAGCTAAGCAAGATATGAGGTGAATTTTCCAACTTAGTAACTAACCAGGAGACTTAAGGTGAACCTCCAGGCACCATAACAACTTAATTTAAATGATTGTGTTATGCTGCCAAGAGGTCCATGACTTAATTTAAATTGTTGAATCCAGCACTGGTTAGCTCTGCCACTCTCATTCCATTTTTGTTTGGCACTTGAATCAGGTAGCCTTGAACTGCTTTTGACAAAGGCACTGCTGATTGGCTGAGAGCACCACTCAAAGACTGCAATGCTTTGCATAAGGGACTAAGGGGGACAGGAACACTGAACCCAGATCACTACAATGAGATCAAGGGGTCTGGGTACCTATAGTGTCCCTTTAATAATATAGAACAGGATATTAGAAAAAAACTATTTTTACTAGTGAGAATTCCTTTATGCCTTTTATCTATTCATGTATAAAAGGTATGAAGGATAATAACTTAATATACCACTGTCAAAGTCTCATGGATGATAAGTAACATGTCAGGTTGCTGGGAGATGAAAATCAAGCAGGAAGTATGGCTATGCAGATGACTGAATGAGCAAGCTCTAATGTTTTAGAATCCTTGAATGATAGACCGATAACAGACTTGACTGCTAGTCATTTCTAAATTGAAAGCATATTTTGAAAAAACAAACTGGATGTATGATTTTATACGTGTTGGATTTTTCCATCTCTGCCTATTGCATAGTTACACTGAGCAAGGTCATTTGCAAGTTTGATTGCATTGTTATCACAGAAGGATCCGAGAGACTTGGCATAACATATCCTGTAGATGATTATTAGTTGTATGTGGTATGATGTGAAAGGAAGATGAGAGACTCGGATAAATAACCAGGTAGATAAATTCAAGTTACCTATATATGTATTTAAGCCCCTAAATGAAAAGTCATATAATTTACTTTCAATTATAATGACATGAGTTTGTCCTGGTCTGCGAAGTTTCCTCCATGCAGAGATCATGATACGTTTTATTATAGCATTTTCAAATACCTTAATTTTAGAAATATGGTTTAACTATATTTACTGTAGGTGGGCATTATGCTCAGATGCAGACATTATATTTACAGTGTTTCTAGGATTTCGTAGTAAGCTGCGCTGCTAGTAATACCTTCAGGATCATTGCAAATACCTATAATCATGGTATTTAACCCATTCTACTTACATATTTTGTCACACCAACTGTATGTGAGAAAAAAAAATATTTTTTTGCTTTTATACTAACATTTCAGACATTGTGTGAAATTCTGCAAGACAAAGGACGCTGTAAACTGTCTAAAGCTTTTCATTTCCCAAATAATATTTATAAATTATGAATGAATAAGGGAAAACCAAAAATAGTACAAATCTGCATAATTAAAAGTTGTATATTTGTTTGCAATGCAATCTACTCACAAAATTGCTGGGTTAACATGTTTATAGCAATGCATATGCAGGTGTTATGCAAATATTTTCAATCAAAATGAGCCTGGCAGTAAAGGGGTTAATAGTTCAAATACAAGGAAGAAGCTCAGAGCTCCCTGCTTGTAATTAAATAATGAATACATGAACAAATTCAATCAATGATTCAATTATTTACGTTTATCAATTTAACTAATTCATTTAACTTTTTTTTTCTAAATTAATGATTCACTCCAAATTTGGATCATTCATCTGAAAACAAATATATTATAAATATAGTTACAATAATAACATAATTATGTTATTATGTTTTACTGAGAGTGTGTGATAGAGCTTATTCACACTATAGAGGTGCAGCTTTTTTTACTTTTATTGAATTGTTTCTGTAAATAACCACAGCGCCATCTATTCAGTTGTGTTTAGTTTTAAAATATAGTTACAACACAAAAGCAATAATTTTATAAAATCTGCACAAAATATCTGTAGGTAATAAGAAAACACTTTTATTATATATAGTCATCCAGACCAATTCATCTCA